TTACTTTTGTAAAGATTCGATGGTTGTTTCCTTGCGTTCTTTGAAAGTTCCATTGTATTTACTAACCCAATTTGTATATTCTTGTGTTGTTACTCATCTTCTCTACTGCTCCCCAGTTTTATTTGCCGGTCTTAGAGCTAAAGGTTACACAATTCTACGCCGGTCAATTAAAATTACTTCTCGCACAAGCGGTATTCCTTATTTGCACTTGCTTAACTTTATGGCTGATAAAGATTTTACCTCTTGCGATAACTTCTGTACCAATATCCTGTCAGACACCACTCATCCATTACACACAGAACTTAAACAATGCATATCAACTTCTGTCACAAGATGTCGTTATAAACTGCTGTACGCTCGTGCCACTGTTTATCGTTTGTCCGTCATCCCTTATCTTTCGAGATTTCTGGTTCAAAAGGCATCCGTTAGAGAAGACTTTTGAAATTCCTACGCAATTGATATTCATTTTCAAACTTTTTACTCCACATTTCTTTGAATTGATGATGCTTTTTTTCTCACTTTTTTGTGACTGTATGCGACGCTAAATGTTCCTGGAGGGCAAGAAGCTGAGAATCCATCCATTAGGATGAATAAAGCGATTTTTGACTTCACTTGACTTGAATCCCTGATCCCCAACCAACCAATAAAAGACTTCCGAACCACACTCACACCTTCCTTACCCTCACCATAGTTACCGGTTCGATTTTGCATCGGGGTCTACCTTGAGGTTTGATCTCGTCCAAAGGGTGTACGATCCGATGAACTGATTACTGGCCCCAAATGGATTGCGGATGGGGAGAGGGAGGGAGAAGTCCTAGGTGTGTGTTCGGGTGAGATTGATTGAGATTGGAGGGTTGGTTGCGGCGGTGGTGATGATGTTGATGATCAATCTGGGGCCATGGTAAGTGGATTGCTTGGACCAGTCGCTTTTGTGCACATAGTTGTGGCGCGAAGAGATGAATGCCTGTCGCCTCAGCGGTGGCTAATGTATGTTAGCACACTGCTTACCCCACCCCTCCCCTCTCCCCATCCCAAATGACCCTTCGACTCAGCGTGAAAATGTGTCCCCACTAATAACAAACCCTCATGATCTGTACAGGCACGATTATGAATCATTCGGAAACAATTGTTCGCCTTCGGACTTGTGTTCTAACAATTTTGTAAGGCTCTTACACTGTTGCAATTCCCATTTTCAACAACTGACTCTTTAANATAGAATTCCAAATGCAGAGTGGCGAAAGAAGCTGAAGCTAGTATTAATTGTCGCGACTCCCTATTTTATTCAGTACCAATCCGTAAAGATTCCCTGTAAGCCAGACTATCGAAAAGTAAAAAGACAGTCATTGATCCGCTTTCAAAGTCAACAAAGATAAGATAAAGGTCATCCAATTTATATCGACAAGGGATGCGCAAAACTCCACAAGTTGGCTACATGAAGAGGTTTCTGCTTTTGGGACCGAATTGGTTACCTCTGTATTTCTAAGACCGCTGGGTGATATTTTGTTGCGGCCCGAAAAGGTGTTTCGTAGCCCACAGCTCCTCGGCAAACGTGGAAAATTTCTCAACTGAATAGGCCTCACAATCCCAATGGTGATGAGCAAGAGATTAAACCTTGAGATTTCGTTGTCCCAATAGAATAAGTATGCTATTGAGCCCGAAGACAACATAGCTACCCAACACCAAATTGAAATAGTACAATATATTAACATACTCATCAGTTATTGTGACTAAAACTTCATGAAAAGGTATTCGGAAACAGGCACAACGCATATGATTCACAATCTCCTATTACTGAACTGGACTTACCTTCAAAGTCATATCCAACTCAGCATCCACTTCCAGTCGGTCTCCATCTTCACCCCAATAGGCGGTCGCAAACACACAGGCCACTGACCGTATGATATAATGGCCCACATTTAAAAGTACCACGGAGGGAATAAGCCGCCAAGTTGAAAGTAACCGAGATGTGGCAATGGGCAGACTTCGTCTGTGAGAACCGCCTCGGAAAACGGGACCACGGGATCCCAGACGGGGACTTGATGGCATGTGAAAGAGACGATAAAAGCCGCTTCGAAGGCAAGATATCAATGTAGTCGGTTCAGACGCTTTATCTGACTGTAAACAAATTAAAGGGAGCGATATTGGCCTATGCTTGAATACGGGACGATATTTTGTTAGACAGAAAACTATTTAGAAAATCATACCAGTCACAAAATAACGATTAGTTTACACAAATTTGCACGAGCAAACAAATTCATCCTATCGAACTCTTAAAAAATGAACTATGGCATATTCCACTGACGATTAGAAAAAATGAAAATTAAAACTCAGTATTTAGCACTGCAACTATTAATTTCACTGAATGACTGACGTTAAAAATCGACCAGAAAGATGTGCCTGCGACTACCCACAAATGACAACTTCAGATGGTACGGGATAAAGCAAGTTGTTTCCAATATGCAATTTTTGTACTTCACTAACCCTAGCGCATTTCAGTAGGCAAAATGTGGCGGTTCAAAACGGCCTAGTTAGTGCTAATAAGCGGCCGCGGAGGTGCGCAGCCGGAAGAAATGGTGTTTGTCTAAATGGTGATCATTAACTTCAGGAACCGGAGAAATCAGATGCTGTTGGCGTTAACTTTACCGTCAGGACTGGTCCAGAAAGCCAAATCACAAAATGTGAGACATACAACCGGAAATCCACAGATTATATCTGCCCTGTGATCAATGAATCCCTAGCGATGGCGATCCTTAACAAGCATAAATTCACTGTGTATGGTTTGTAAAGCCTTTTGGCGGTACCTTTGGGGAGTTAGCCACCCATCTAAGACCATGCTACCGCATTACGTCTCTTACCATTTTATCTACGCCATTACACTAAAAGAACAGACCGATTTGTAACGTTTCTAGCCTAAGACCACCTATACGTGGAATACGTTCAGAAGTTTCGTCAGTCTTAACAATTAGTCCATAATCCCGACTGCTCGCTGGGTATTTTTTAACTAAACACTGACGTGATGCATAGGAGACAGAGTGAACTCCATATTTCCGGGAGTATATCGTTACATTACGGGAACAGGTAATGAAATCATGGGATTCGTACTGGTGTATAAGAGGAAACTGGCAAATGCTGTTTTATTGTCAACTTGGTGGACTTCATGCAAAAACGACTGGACCCAGTGCGCAAAAATAAAGACAAATAGGGTATTGATAAAATAAATTCAAAAAACCTGTCATGCCTGAGAGCCATCTCGCAAATAATTCTAACGTTTTTTACCGAAGCTCTGCTACCTTATAACTGTCGCCGAAATCGTACTTACGGAAAGTATTTCGTTGATATAAGCAAAAAAATAGATATTATTACAGATAAGTTGCGTCTGACGTGGGTTAATATCGTATTCAATCCCGTGAATGAGGTTCAAAACTTTATGCATCTAGGGGAATAAATCTAACGAAAGTGACAGCGTCGCACGAGTTCGATTAACACTTGTTCAGTTCAGCTCCGTTTTTACAACCACTAGCCATGCACTTTCGTGTGACGATTTTGGTTGCTGTCTTTTGGCGGCCGATTTGGGTAAAAAGAGCAGAATGAAGATTGGTGTGTTCGCGGTACATTCAAAGTGAAGATAGAGAATTAACATAGACAGGGGTTACAAGAATAATGAGTAGATGCACGAGCGCGTTTGCGACACCCAGTCATATCACTCAGTGTCCTAGTCAGAGTTTTCATAACCTCATTCCCGGTGTTATTTTAACCACCCTTGACCTTTTTCCATACGCTACCTGCCTCGGCAAACACCGCGCCGTGGCAACCTATTTGACTCATGAGCAACACATATCCGAAGCACCGTAGTCTATGGAGGTCGAACACCTAATCCAGTGGACGACTGCGATTGCCTAAAACTCTGCGCCTAGCCTCGGCATTGCTTATCTGGTTCCCTCACCAGACTAGTGCAATGTAATACCTGTTTAGTCTACAGTTTAAATAGAATAAGTACTCCAGGTTATAGTGAAGCCGTTTTTCACAAAAAAGATGAAATAATCATCGACTTTGAGTAACGCACAAATGTGACAGATAACTATTTGCTGACTCTTAACCGCCAATGGTCCGCTTAGACCTTGTCGAGACGTTAGAAACGTGATGATAATTAACGATGATCGAATCACGACAAAACAAATGGATATAAAAAACTTTAATCGATGGACGGACATCTACAGATGGGGTTCAGTTCCCCGGATGGGTCTACGGTACTCGCCGGGCTTAAAGTTGAAGACCCTGAACGACCAGAACAGGAGTAATGAAAGATTGTGCTTTTACATATACTTGTCTAATTGGTCAAGCAATCCCTTATATCTCTTTAGTGGTGGAACTCGGCATCCAAATGCGGCCCCAAAGTTAGGCTAGTCATTGTACACGGCTGAAAGAAACCTATCACCCGATATGGTACAATAAATCGAGGTGTAATTGCTTAAACTGCACAAGTAAAAGAAATAGAATGAGCCAACCAGATGTACTAAAGGACATTGCAGTGCTCACCTGTACCAGTTCCACCACACTGGCTGCATAAAACGGAGTAACCAGGATCCATGATATTCTACATATATAGTATGTATGTATGTAGGTGTAGCATGTATGTACTTACACTTTCAAGAGGACATGTCCGCCTAAGCGTCGCATGGTGCTCAGTCGAGAAACCTCTCTGAATTGTTGTGTGTGACAGTTAGGGAGACTTACTTTGGCAAGGAGGTTATCTCACTCAGCATATTTTCACTCAGTAAACACAACCCTCGAACAATGAAAACGCTTCCAAGGCCCTTCCATAGAAACGATAAACCCTGAGGCAAGTAGATATGGCAAATTTGACTTACTTGAATCTGAATGCATTTACTGACAACAGGTAGTAAGGAAAACGGAAAAATATGTAATTTTGAGGAACAGCCGCGAACCTGGAGAAAGAGATGAATAGACCTCGAGCAAAAGCACTATCTCACTTGGCACTGACTGCGAATAACGACGAAAGGATGCGACAGCACAACTTCCGCTACCATGCTGATGGGCAATTAGTAAGAAAGCTTGCTCATTACCTCGCAAACCCTATGCCTAATCCAGCGAATTCATAGCTGGCAGCTGAAAACGAAAATAGCTTCAACCAATCAACTCACCTAACGTTTGCGGAGCATCTCGCTCACTGCGTGAATCGATGCTTACATCGTCGCTTGGGAAGTTTGATGCTCGAGACGCCTCACTGACTAGTGCGGCAGAGTTTGCCTGCTCCAATAGGCGCAGTCGTTCACTATACATATACGCTATAATAAATAGATTAAAAAATGTAAATTATTTGAAGAAACGGGGATATCTTGTTGAAGAGCATCGTGTAATAGACAATGGGAGAAAGGAAAGCACTAGCACAAGGACCCACGGCTCTTTCATATGAGCCAACGATCTAAGCCATGAAATTTGAAGTGGAGCACCCTATTAAACAGTTATATGATAAGACAAGCGCTGCATAACGCTAAAGGACAAAGAAACTGTCTAACACGAAAGTCTGACGAAAGTGGTAGGATTCGCAACTCTGGTATCCATGGGCCAGCAGACCTGATGGAGAAAAAACGACAACTCCCAACCGGTCAGGATTAAAACAAAGTTAGGTGGCGTCTGTAAGGTCAACTCAAGAAGAGCCTCAGGAAGGACCGCGAGAAATGGTGGGCAACAACAGCTAACGAAATGGAAGTAGCAAATACGTCAGAGAATAGTCAAAGAATGATACGCAATAACGGAGGTTGGCGAACTATATATACATATATAACACCAATCTTTACAGATACGGCGCCAAAATAACCATGGATGAACGAAAAATATAAGTAAAAGGCGGGGAAAATAAAATAGTCAACTTCGGGGAGTAACATCTTTTGTTTCTTCATTGCACGCCATTTTTTGGATGGAAAACAGGAGAGGATACATGCGCACCACTGAATTCGGTCCCGCAGTGTCCCCAGTCAAAGAATTTGAATGCGAGCACAATCTCTTTCAACCTCTGCGTTACGTCATAACCTGCCCACTTCGCTGTTTCTTCCAGATTGGACCGATGCCTGCGAATAGTGCACGGTGTGGCAGACGATGCTCGGGCATTCGTAGGACGCGCCCTAGCCACATACAACGATGCAGTGAAATTATTTTGCTCAAAGGAAGACTATCTGATCCGAGCATCCGTCATCTGACTTCATCGTTATTCACGTGATGCTCCCACTTCTCGGGTACTCTGTCTCTCCGCAAACAGTTCCACAGTGCAGGACGATCGATAGTGTCCAAACCTGCTCTGATATTTAAAAACACAACTGTTTGCCGTCTGTATGCGTGGCGGTGTTCTAGTAGCTGACGGAGCATGAGGATTTGATCAATGCAGCCACGACGTGCACGAAACCCGACCTGCTCCTCGCGGATTTGCTTCTCACGGAATGGGCATAACCTGCGTAATAAAACGGACTCGAGCAGCTTCGGCGCTATTTGAATTACACTTATGCCCCTGTGGTTGGAACAGGCGTTGCGATTGTCCTTCTTGTAGATGGGTGTGACAATCAATTCTCCCCATGTGTGGGGTACACTTTCAGTTTCCCAGATCTTTGAGAACAATCTCACAAATTCTTTTACGACAGCTTCCTCACCATCTTTAAAGAGGACAGGTGTCAGACCGTCTGATCTAGCTGCCGTGTGGCGTTTCAGGGCTTGCAGTTCCTTTCGGATCTCCGCTTTTGTGGGCGGACCCGTGGATAGTGATCAGAATNACCCGTGGATAGTGATCAGAATGCACTCTCAAGAGAACTGCTTGGGGCAGCCAGCGCGGGGGGCTGGTTGAACTTCGATGTGAAGTGCTCTGCCCAGCGTTCCAAGTCTCGGTGAAGGCTGTCTATTAGCGTGCCATCTGCTTCGCAGATTGTTTCACTAACGCACTGTCTTTTGGGGCCTGTAGCACGGATCAGCTGGAAGAGTTGCCGGGTGTTTCCACACCTAGCCGCTGATTTCATCCCCTTTGCACGTAGCGTCCACCAGGCCTCTCGGTCGTCTCTCAAACTCTTTGTGAGGTCACGCTTCAGTGAGAGATGTTGTTCATTATACTCGCGGTCTGCCGGGATTGCCCGATGCGCATCGAGGAGTCTGACAAAGTTGGAGGAAATCCAATGATTTACAACTCCGCGGTTTAAGCCACAACTGTGTAAACCGGCTGAGTGCATTGCGTTTCGGATGGTTGTCCAGTGTTGATCTACGCTACTTGGTGAGGTAGTAGTAGACTTGCGGCCAACTCGTTTTGGTAATCGGCTAGTACGGCCGGGTCAGACAGCATCGCGACGTCAGGCTGTTTGAATCGAATTTTTCTTGCGGCCACCGAATCCCATAGACAATTTGGCCCAAAACAGTGCGTGGTCGGAGTCCAAGCAGGTAGACCAATACGAACGGCAAAAGGTGTACGGTGAAACACAAAAAAAAAATTCTGTTATCTTGTATTTTCCATGTCTAACTGTCTCACTCACTTTTCCCCATGTTCTGTATCCTAATCCACCTATCCCCTTCACTGTCATTGTTGTTGCGTTGGCACCATGCTTGTTTTCAAGCCGGTGGTAAATATATATATATATATATACGGCAGTCTTTCACACATTCTCTCCATCTATAGCTAGTATCTATATATGATCAAGCTGACTCCATGTCTGTGCAGAAGAGGGGTTACACCAGGTGGCGAGGTGACGCTTAGTGTCTGAAGTTCGTGCTAAAGAGGAACTGATCGTGTTCTGAGCATATGCTAAGAAGTTTTTCCCATTATCTGAAAGACAGTTATCAAGGCCATGACGGCCACCAAGGTGGGTCTCATCGGGTGGCAGACGACCAACGCGTGCATTTAGGTCTCCGGTCAGGATCACAATATCCGTCTTAGGTGCTTTGAGAAGAAGCTTATGGAGCTTGTGATAGAAGGCGTCCTTGACTGTATCCGGGCTAGTCTGTGGGAGCGTATGTAGAAACCACGAATAAGCATCCTTCATTTGGTTTCTGCTTTTTGGCCTTACTTGAACCTCTGAGTCTCACTGCGCATAGTCAGCTATCTATCGGGATCCAATCCCATAGACAACCTCGGCCCTGGCCCTCAAGGCAATACCAATGCCTGCTTGACCAGATGCTGAAGCGATAGGGTCCCCGGAGACGCGCAGTTGAAACGCTTCCTTAGGACTGGAAGGAGACGCTAATCGGATCACTGAGCTCGGGTCCTGCATGCGTGTTTCCGAGAGGCAACACACATCAATCTTCGGAATATACCATCCATACCCATTGTGAGAAAACACAAAGTAGCGAACAAGCTCGTTTGCGGTGATTCTTCTTCTTCATCACAATTTATATCAAACTGTTTGGCAGGGGGGAGAGATCAAGACAAGTTGAGGAAGTAGAAGAATCACGGCAAACGAGCTTGTTCGCAACTTTGTGTTTTCTCACAAATCAATCTCTAGACTTTCGAGCGTACGAGCCAAACCTGCTTGTTATCCTATACGCACTAGAGTTCTAACATTAAACGAAGCCAACTTGAACGCAGAGTGAGTTCGGAGGAATGGAACGATCGGTTCCGCGACAGATGTCAAGGAGGGTAACGGCGAGGTACAACATGAACCTACGTCAGTGGAACCGTTCTGGGTGGGACAAACAGGGGGGGGGTAAGTACCGTGTGTGGGGCAAGTGGAAGTGTTGCGTGCAGATTTTAAGAGAAAGCTTTGCAGAAGTGTAGTATTCTGTGACATGCGTAAATGTTCAGAAGCCCATGGTTAGCTTGTGGGCGTGGTACTACCCGGTTGCCCAGGCTAAGGTAGAGGGTTTTCTCGGGGGACCTTACCCGTAGCCTTCGGTTGGAGAACCTGACCCACAATGCAGTGGGGGGGAGTAGGGAATCCACGATCCTCTGGGAGCCGGTGACTGCGGGACCAGTTCATACGCCTTTTGGATGCGGCCAACTATCCAGGGTACCCAGATTGTCCTTGAACCGCTAACTTGCCGGTGAACATCACGGTGGTTAACTCCAAAGATTAACTTTGGAGACCAGTTCGGTTGCGGCGAAGATTGGTGCCACTTCTTACGCCAGGTGTGGGCGGTTTGGAATCAGGGTTTAGCGAACTCTCCTAGACTGACTACCATTGGTCAGTCAACCCGGTGAAAAGCGCCGGGCATTCGCCTTTGCCCTCCCACTTTAGCGTTAACACCTCCGCCAAGAGAAAGTAGTGGGTAGGACTTCCTCAACAGAAGCTATTTGAGACGCTTGGTCATTTGGGAGCATTTCTAGAAATGTTCGGGACGAATGGTCATTTCGGAGCTCGGGACAGCCTCTCCCGACCATACTGAGGCATTTGGACGCTGGAGGTTGGTTAGTGAAACAGTCTGCGATAAAGGAAGACAAGCTATTTACAATAGGAATCAATGGTTTGACCGCTGGGAAGAGTACTTCAGTGAACAATTCAGCTGGCCTGGCACTAGCCAGACTACTTCATCTGCAACTGAAGCTCTGTGGGCAGTCGTGCGATCCCCCGGTAGAAGCAGAAGTTCGGTCTTGCATTTACGCTCTGAAGCAACGAACGGGCTTCCTAACACTCAACATGGGACAGAGATAACCTCGTAAGCTCTGTTACTAGATTACTGCACAACAGTTGAACGTAAGAGCGAATTTCATCTTCAGCCGAATCAATGATTGTTCCCACTTTCGAGAAGGAACCTCAAAACGATTGCGAAAACCACCGCGGGATAAGCTCGATCCCAATCGTCACCAAAGAATTGGCCTCTGTCATACTTTGACGTTCGACTCCTTTAAGACAGACCAACAGTGTGAACAGCCGACTGGATTCCGGCCCGGATGTGTATTTATTCATCAAATTTTTATACTGCGTCAAGTCACTAAGTTGCATCACCCGCAGTCGATCAACGATCGCAGTGTTCATTGACCCGAAAGAAGGCTTCGACTCAGGGGATGCGAGGCTATGATCGGTTTTCTTCTTCGAAAAGGAATGCCGCAGAAGTACGTTAGCTTACTGTGGTCACTGTATCCATCATTCATCATCGTCATCGTTGTATACCGTAATATAGTTGAACGAACTTTACTGATCGCTGCCAAACTCATATTGCATAAAAGGTAAGTGATAATGTGTAAGAAGGACAGGGATTGGGCCTATCTTTAGGGACGGGAAAAGAAAGTGAACCTCTATGGTCAACACAGAGTAAACAGTTCAACTGTGCATACATACTAATTCAAGCCTTCTGGTCTGATAAGAAGTGACAGC